GATGCAGTCTGTGTGAGTGAGTAGGCCGCTGCAGGCATCCAGATCTCCGGCTTGGGCGCGGTGAGCAATGGTACTCTGAGACAGGGACGAAGGTAGGTAGGCACAAATCAAGCAAGGGGGCCGCTCATCCTGGCCATGTCAGTTGATGTGAGCCGTTTCTGTCTTTTGTGGGGGGGGGGGCGTGTGGGCGTGGGCGTGGGTGTGGTCTGGAAATGGTCCTCGCGGATAATAGAGGAAGTAAGGAGGAAAAGATCAGAACAAGAAAAAAAAATACAGAAGGAGGGACATGAGCTGACGAAGTGGCTGTTTGATGGACACCGAGGTGCCGGCACGACTGGTGCTAGTAACAAGTTGTGTTGTGGGAAGACGTGATGTGCCAATATCTGAACTGTTGGCGCTAAGGGGCGTTAGGTAGGTAGGTAATGAGAGGAAAAGCAAGCATTGGAGGGGAGGATCCTGTACTGTTCTAGCGGCTTTTGGCGCCTCATGGAACGGTTTGATGGACAGACGGGGAAAGCAGACCGGCCACCAAGCACATGGACGCTGGGCCCATGTTGCATGTCGTCATGGTTGTAACATTCACCAGAGATGATAAACTTGAGGTGCTTTGTGCGAACAATCAAGACGCGAAAGATGGTGCGTCGTCCAAGCAGGCACTACACCGCGAATTTCTACGACCGAGGGACGTAGTCGTGACATGTCGTTCCGGCTGTGGCTTGACTGTGGGTAAGGATGGGGCAAAGAGACCGTTGAGGCGGTGCATTTTCCTCCACCTGTCATCTCTTCTTCTCTCTTCTATTGGTCCTGGGAGGTCTCTCGACCTCAGGCAGGTGCCCCCCTAACCCTGCCTTACCTGCCTTAGGTAAGTACCTAAGCTGGGTAGCTCCTGCAGCTGCTGCAGATTTAGCGTCAGCTCCAGCAGCTCCGGGCCCCTATACCCAATGTGCCGCGCTAGCCCTCACTTCAGCTCATCCTCCATCACCACCACCTCAACCACCGGTCGACTCGACCATCGCATAGCAACCTCCCCCCCTCCCCGGATCAAAGAGTCCCGCGCATCGCATAACAATACTGGAGGACATGGCCTAGACTTCTTCAAGCAGCAGCAGAAGACATTTCATCAGGGATTCTCATCCGTCCTACCATCGCTTGTCTCGCTTGGCATCAATTCCTTTTCGTTTGACACCCTGTCTGGATCATCATCAACATCAACACTACCACCATCACCGCCGCCACGCCACATCATTATTTATCTTTTGACACAACTTTCATCTTGACGTTCCTCTCGGAGAATCAGAAATTTGTCCGCTGGCGTACATGACCCTATTGAAACACCAATCTGTCGCCTACCAGGGGGGCCTCTCGTTGCTTCTTCCATCCGGATCCTGGGTCTTGGCCCACCGCCCCTTTTCCTTGCCTTGGTCTGCACCTGCGACTGCGTCGGCGTCTGCATCTGCGTCAGGCTCCTGATTACTTTCTCGATCTTGGCCCGGCTAGCCCATTCGCTGTGATACGGTCGGATCACCAATCGCACTTCCCCCCACCTGGTCAGTTTCATTGCACCACCTGTCGCCCGCGCACCACAGCCCGCACCAGCCTCCGGGCGCCTTGCAGCATCAGCCCACACCTTTCAACGGTACATAGCGTTCTGGTACGACTGCCGCTCTCTCCTGAGCTTGGAACCCGGAATCAGACGAGCAAACAATTTTGGGCCCACACCACTCGAGACTCAAGACGCCCCTCCCCGGAAGACGGAGGCCTCTCTCGTGACATTCGCCTATTGCATCGAGGACAAACATGACGGCTGCGGCACGGTCCAGTCGACTCCGCCCTGGCGGATACCAGCGTGTACCTGAATGGGAGTTGGAACAACGTCAAGGCCAGAGCCAGAATCCACGCCAGCAGCGGTATCAGGACACGCCCGCCGGTCCGAGCGACCCGTACACCGGCCGTCAGCTTCCAGAGAAGCCCCTGCCCGCCCTACCACCGCCGTCTGCACCCATGCTCATGAGCCCCGGCCCCGGGACAACTGTCGGCCTCGCCGGCCGCCGGCGCCCCCGCCATGATCTTCTGGGGGGCCCTCGCCGGATGCCTTCCTTCGCCGGGCCTCGTGCTCAAGCTCGCCTTGGCAACGCCACACGGGCACCCCCGCTTTGGCCGGTTTTGCCCGAGTCCCTCAACGGGGGGTGGGGGGTGGCGGTCAAAAAAAACATCGGCTGATGTACCGGAGTACTTCCAGAACATCGCCGCAGGTTGTGGGCCCGGCCCGACTGCAAGGGGGCGAGCCCCCTTTCCTGGGGCAAACCCCGTGTTGTGCCCACTGGAAGTTTCGTTCCCAACAGCCC